TTATGGAAATGTACGACCCTTTTTATTCCTAGATCGTCTGAATGCAACTTTGGTTTTCGGAATTTTAGATACGTACGTACGTACGTACGTAAAATATTGCATGATTGTACAATCTATAGTCGAAAATTATATAAAATTACGGAATTCCCGATTAAATTAGACAAAAAAAAAATTATTTTTTTTTTACGATCAAATTTTTAATCATTCTATAATTTTTATTATTAAGCAATACTGGTACGTACATAAAACAAAGTTTAACATTAAATTTTAATACAATTTTTATAAGAGTAACTCGCCGAGACCATATATTAAATGACCAGGGATTTGCATTTAAAGAATAATATATATATATATGTTGTAAATGGGAACAGAATTTAAGTGGATTGGAATTTCTTAATGAACTTATAATTTTAGGGTAAAATTTATTCTATGTTATGCCCTGCTTAAAACATATGTGAGCGTTTTTAATTTTAGACCTTCTGAGTTGCACCTAGAAAAAATGCTCTTGAGAGATCGACTGTAACTACATATAATAAATTGATTTTACAATATTCTCAATAAATGTTTAACGTTAAGCCACGATCTATAAGATTGCATTCTAAATACATATAGCTACATTTTTATTTAACTATGATAATGATAAAATTCTTTTATTATTTATCAGACTTGTAAGCTCCATTTTTACAATGACCGGACGTGGTAATGATCAAGATTCAGTTCAAACTTCTGATACTGACGATGAAAATAACCTACTAATTACTGAAAGTAGTGGAGCCCAACAATCACGCAAACACTCTGAGAATAATAACAAAAGAGTATCTGTTGGAGATATTTTGATCCATTTAAAGTTCCAAAACGTGGAGATGTAACAAAATGTGTGTAATACGAATACGTATGGTGCGGATCCACTTTAAACCTTGTTCGTCATCTTGAGAAAAAACATGGTATAACACCCACAAAAGCTGTTCAGCCATCTTTAACAAATAATAACTTTAGAAACTTTGAGGTTAATCTACCAGTAATTAAATTTATTGTCTCTTCCGTATTGCCTTTTAATATTGTTGACAATTTAAAGTCTGCTGGACTTATTAATTCATCAATTACACCTAGAATTATAGAAGAACAAATAGATAAAGTATATGATCGCTTATTTTCTCATTTGAAATCAAAAGTTCAGCAAGCAAAATCAGTTATACTTTCGATTAGTGTGACTATTGATGATGATTATGAATCATATATAATAATCACTTATGATTGGTTAACCGAGGATTTTGAATTTTATAGACTCTTTATGCATGTGAAGAATTGGCCTTTTGGATGTTATACATTTGTTGACGATATTAACGAGGCTTTAATTAGTTGGGAATTAACCAATTTGAAGTTTATTACCTGCAATTCAATAGATTTCGATTATTTTGACGATTTTTATAGCAACTTAGAAGATGAGATCGAAAATATTATTATATGTGTAATCGGGGATAGTGGTAATGGTTTAATAATGCATAGTTTAAAAAGATGGGCAAAAAATGCACAGGAAATATCTAACCAAGGAATATCTGACATTATCACTGCCGTTTTGAATGCTACTAAATACCTTAGTTCAGTAGTAGAGTTTTTAAAGGATAAAAGAACTCTAAGAGCAATGCAGGTTCAAAATACGAAAACAATTAGTTGTGA